GTTTCCGTTCGATGTTCGCATCGGGGGCTCGCGCAAATTTCAGACTGCGTCTCGTCGCTTTCTCGACGCCTACATCGGGTCAACCCGAGACCCCCGAAACCGCGTCGCTCGCGTCCCCGATTCTTACAAGCCTCGGGGCTCTTCCCAAAATGCGCCCGTGTTTTCTCACAAACCCTGTTCGCCCGTCAACGGGGTCAGGCTTTTTCGGAACCAGGAACAATTCACTGAGTTGTCCTTGTTCGTGGCCGTATTCGTTTCAAGACAAATTTCGCCCTTGGTTTCTCATGGGCCACGTCGTTTGGACATTCTTCACCTGGGCCAGCATCTTTATCAGTGCATCTCTTCTCCCCAAAGGTTTGCCCCTCGCTGACCCTGGCCCCCAAAAGTCTGACGCCCAGCAGCAGGCGAACGAAAGCCCCCCCCGGCCCCCTCACGACGACGACGACGACGACGACGACGACGACGACGACGACGACGACGACGACGACGACGACGACGACGGCGGCGACTACGGCGGCGGCGACGACGACGACGACGACGACGACGTCGACGACGACGGCTGCGACGACGACGACGGCGACAACGACGACGACGACGACGACGTTGACGACGACGACGACGACGACGACGACGACGACGACGACGACGACGACGACGACGACGACGACGACGACGACGACGACGACGACGGCGCACTTCCCCTCGCGCTGTGCCCCACTCGTGCGCGCCGCCGACGAGGTGCTGGCGGCCTCGGCGCCCCTGCGGCGGCCGCTGGTGGCGGCAGCGCCTCCGCTGCGGCCTGCGCCGGCAGCCGCGCCCGCGGGGCCGCCACGGTCGAAGGTGCCGGCGACAGCGGAGGGCGGCGCAGCCGTGCGGCAGGCGAGCGACGGAAGAGGAGGGGGGTCAATCCAGAAGAGGAGGAGGTGCCGATGCCGCTGCCCTCGCCTCGTTCTCGCCTTTTTCGGGTCTCCTGGCAGGCCCTCGTCGCCATCGCTGGGTTCGCCTCGAAACTCGGGTCAGAGCGCACCCCAGCAGAGGTCTGGGGAGTGGTGGTACCGGTAGCTTACGGTTTCCCCATCGACTGCGCGGATCGGCTGCCCGTGAGAGTGACCCTTCGCCAGAGTGACCTCTCTGGTGCGGGCCCACAAGGGTCCGCCCAGCACTGGCCTGCGCGTTTGGATCTGACCTCCTCCGCGGTCCCTGGAAACCGCGCGCCAGGGGCCACTCTTGCCCAGGGTCACCCTTGCGTTCTGGCGGGCGGACATGCAGAGCCCCGAGTGATCAGGGCATGGGGGTGGTCGGGGGTGACTCCTGATTCGGGTCTCCCGTTTTTCGCGTTGTAGTTGCCTTGGGTTGCACTCAACTCGTGCTTTCCCGCACCACGCGCTGCCCTCCATATAAGTACTGCTTTAGATAGGAGCCATTCCGGATGAAGCGGTTCCAGGGTTTTCCAGGATCACATCTGGGGGCACCAAACGGGGCCTTATGATTCGGGTGCCCAAGACATGCGCGTGTAAGCTACCCGCGTGAGGTCGCGCATAAGCTCTGTCGTTTCCAATGTGGTTTGCCGCGCTTGCAGTCCGCGTAAACCGCGGCTCAAGGTCGCTATGCTATCGTGCGCAAGGTCGGGAGCTGGCAACTAGCACCCATATCAATGCGACCCCAAGATTTCTCAGGGTGGAATTCCAGGAGGGGGTGGCTTTGGGCCTTATGCTGTCGGATGCCCCCCCCGCTCGAACGGGCACCCCCCTCTGGGTCCGAGAACTCGCACCCATCCCTGTAGCGCCTTCATCGCCTTGCCCTTCCCCATTCCTTCGCCCTACTGGTGCAAGCGTGTGCCGTTCTTTCAGCATCAGCCCCCCTTCTTTCTGTCGCTCAGGTGCGCGACGCAGACACGCGGGTCCAACTGATCCGACATTCGCGCGCGAGCTGCCCGCATAACGCCGCGCAGGGCCCCCTTCTCCACACGGTGTGCCACGCTGGCGGCCCGCGCAAGCCGCGGCGCAAGGTCGCTACGCCATCTCGCGTGCGACTCCTTTCGCTGCGCCGCTCAGGTGGCGTGGGCGGAGACGCCCAGCGCCGTGCCTCCGCTCACCGAGGACGGCGCCGAGGAGCCTGCGCGCGGGGGCGCCGAGGAGGCCTCGCCGTGCGCGGCGGCCTCGCCCTGCCTCTCCGCCGCCCAGGGCCTGCTCGGCCGAGCCATCTCCGCCGGGGTCGACCGCTTTCTGGACGAGGCTCGAGGGGCAGGAAGCGGCACAGCAGCACCAGCTCTCGCAGGTCCGCGCGGGTCTCTTGGATCTGCGCTGGAGCTTCCCGGCAGCGCCTCCGGCGCCGCCCCTGGCGCACTCCGCGCGCCAGGGTTGGGGAATACATCCAAGAAGTCCGCACGGAGCTCCGAAAGCTTGTGCTTATGAAGCCTCTTGTGCCTCCAGAGGCGGAGGGGGACTGGGACGCGGAGTCTTTGGACGCCGCATCGCGCTGCGGATCGGGGTTTCTCTGAGAGGCAGCTGCTCGCGCTTCCACGCCCCTGCCATTCCCTCGGTTCTCGTCCGCCCTCGCCTCCCCGTTTCACCCGCCTCATGCGCGTCAGTTTTGCTGCTCCTTTGCAGCCGAAGCGCCCTGGCCAGCGAAAGGTGCGGCCGGCTCTGCTCCGACGCGTTGCAGCGTGCTCACGCTGCCCCAGACCGTTTCGAGGAGCACCAGCTGGGCTCAGCTCCCGGAAAAGTCTTCACCTTCACCAGCCTGCCACTCACGCTCCCAGTCGACTCGGGATGAGGAGCGGGGCGCCTAGGCCCGCTCCCCCATCCCGAGTCGCTGTTTGGCGGCCCCAGGGCCCGCAGCCAGCCTGCAGATGCCCCAAAAAGGCCGCCTTGTTTTTTTCCGAGGCGCTCGCTGCCTGGGCTCATGTCGCGCCCGCCTCTTCCTGCCCGTCGGTCGACCTCATCTCCCAGACCCCCGACGACATGACTTGTTTCGCAGCGTGGGACTGCAGAGGTCTGGACCCCTTCCTGGCGTCCGGCTTTTCATCCCGAGTCTTTTTGTTAATGGTCCTGGGCCCGGTGAAGTCCCTGAGAAGCCGAAAGTCGCCCAAAACCTCCCGTCGTGTTTTTCCACGATTCGAGGAGGGCTGGGCTCCCTGGCCACCGCGCGCTCGAACCACATGCTGGCCGGCTGGGGCGTGCGAGCTCGCCACCGTGGCTCTCGCCGATCGGTCCGCGGCCTGGCTAGCGTCCCCGCCGCGGTCAGCGCAGTGGGGCGCCTCCGAGAGGGCCTCGCCTTCGAGGAACCCTTGACTCGTTTTCGCATTCTCGGGCCTCCTGGAAGGCCCTCGTCGCCACCGCTGGATTCGCTTTGAATTTGTGGTCAGGACGCGCCCCAGGAGAGGTCTGGGGAGTAGCGGCATCGGTGAGGAGGAGATGGCAGGGGAGGAGGAGGAGGAGGAGGAGGAGGAGGAGGAGGAGGAGGAGGAGGAGGAGGAGGAGGAGGAGGAGGAGGAGGAGGAGGAGGAGGAGGAGGAGGAGGAGGAGGAGGAGGAGGAGGAGGAGGAGGAGGAGGAGGAGGAGGAGGAGGAGGAGGAGGAGGAGGAGGAGGAGGAGGAGGAGGAGGAGGAGGAGGAGGAGGAGGAGGGAGGGAGGAGGAGGAGGAGGAGGAGGAGGAGGAGGAGGAGGAGGAGGAGGAGTTGGAGGAGGGGGGGAGGAGAGGGAGGAGGAGGAGGAGGAGGGAGGAGGAGGAGGAGGAGGAGGAGGAGGGAGGAGGAGGAGGAGGAGGAGGAGGAGAGGAGGAGGAGGAGGAGGAGGGAGGAGGAGGAGGAGGAGGAGGAGGAGGAGGAGGAGGAGGAGGAGGAGGAGAGAGGAGCAGGAGCAGGAGCAGGAGCAGGAGCAGGAGCAGGAGCAGGAGCAGGAGCAGGAGCAGGAGCAGGAGCAGGAGCAGGAGCAGGAGCAGGAGCAGGAGCAGAGCAGGAGCAGGAGCAGGAGCAGGAGGAGGCAGGAGGAGGAGGAGGAGGAGAGAGGAGGAGGGAGGAGGAGGAGGAGGAGTTGGAGTTGGAGGAGGAGGAGGAGAGGAGGAGGAGGAGGAGGAGGGGAGAATCAGGAGACGGAGAAGGAGGGGAGGAGGAGGAGGAGGAGGAGGAGGATGGAGGAGGAGGAGGAGGAGGAGGAGGAGGAGGAGGAAGGTGGATGAGGAAGAGGAGGCGGAAGAGGAGGAGAGGAGGAGGAGGAGGAGGAGGAGGAGGAGGAGGAGGGGAGGAGGAGGAGGAGGAGGAGGAGGAGGAGGAGGAGGAGGAGGAGGAGGAGGAGGAGGAGGAGGAGAGGAGGGAGGAGGAGAGGAGGAGGAGGAGGAGGAGGAGGAGGAGGAGGGAGGAGGAGGAGGAGGAGGAGGAGGAGGCCGCGCTCGAGGGCGCCAGGGCCGCGCGGCTGACTCAGGCCGCCGAACTCTGAGATCCCAGATCCCTTCGCGTCGTTGTGAAAACAGCACGACGGGAGATTTTTCATCCTTTTCGGCCTCTAGGGCCCCTTCCAGGCCTCGGGACCGTCAAACATCGGCCCAGGATGAAAAGCCAGTCCTGGGGAATGGGTCGAGAACTCTGGGGGTCCACGGCACGAAAAAGTCGTGGAGCCGGGGGGCCCGGGAGTCGAGGGCTTGACACTTCTTGCTTTGCGGAAGGTGGCGGACGGCCGACGGACGGGCAGCGGAGGTAAACGAGGCCAGCCCCCCCACAGATGCAATGTTGTGCGGTTGAGGGTTTCTGGAGCCAGCCAGAGTGGCGGCAGGGCTCCTGCTCTCCGCAGACGTCCTGGCAGCTCGAGCATACATCGAGGCAGCTGTTTTTTGCACCGTTCTTGGGGTCCTCGGTGCCCGGTGTCGGGCCCCAGGGCCGTCAGAAAACTGCTCGGGATGAAGAGCCGGCCCCACGGGGAATGGTCGAGCGGTCTGGGTGCCCACGTCTCGAACAAACATCGAGCCGCTGGATGTCTGGGTCATCGCGCTCTCGCTCTGGACTTCCTCATGAATTACCTGGGAATCGTGCTATCGCTCGGAACTTCCTCGCGATTCATGCAAGACTGACGCTTCAGCGATCAACACGACCGACCTAGCCGTGTGGGCCTGCCCGCCCGACCCGCCCATTAGGCTCCGCCCGCCCGATCCGCCCGGTTGGTTCTGCCGCTTGTTTGCCTGCTCCTAGCCCCCTTTCTGCTAATCTCACTCGTGCTCCATCCTTCTCCCTCCCCCATGTTCCTTCCCTCCTCCCTCCCTTCCCGCACTCCTTTCCTCTTCGTCATATGTTATTTCCTGTCTCCATCCTTTTCCTATGTTATAGGGGCTGCGCTAGCTACACGTCGCAGGTAAGGAAGATGTCCCCAAGGGGGTCCGGTCGACGACGAAAAAGGTGGGTATCGAGGGCTTGGGATGTACATGCTGATCTAGGTGGTGCAATTAATGTAGTTCAATCAGCACGTAGGCGCAATCAGTGTAGTGCACTGTAGTGCCATCAATGTGGTGCAATCAGTGTTGATCTAGGCGTACATTGAAATCATGAGTAGGGCAGCTCCTGTTGTTTGCACGGATGTAGGGCTTCGTGCGGCAGGGAGGATCTATTTTTCGGACCAGGAAAAATTACCGTGTCCGTGGCACTGCCGCCTTGCTGGATCACCTCAAGCATACAATGTTTGATGTGTTGCCGTAAAAAGTTCTAGTGCAATCTAGATCGTGCGTTCCATGTAGTGCCATATATGTCGTGTGACGCAATGTAAAGCAATGCAGCGCAATGTAACCCAACGTTTGCCAATGCAACGCAATCAAAAGCAACGCACATCAATGCAACGCAACGAAGCAATCCAAACCAATGCAAAGCAATGCACAACAAGGCAGAACAGTGTAACTCAAGTCTAAGCAATGCAATGCTATGCAAAGCTGTGCAAAGCAGTGCAAAGCAGTACAAAGCAATGAAAAGCAACGCACCGCAACGCAAAACAGCGAAAGGCAGTGCAACGCAATGCGATGCGATGCAAAGCAATGCAACGCAATGTAAGGCAATGCAAAGCAATGCAAAGCAATGCAAAGCAATGCAAAGCAATGCAAAGCAATGCAAAGCACTACAATGTTATGCAAAGCAATGCAAAGCCATGCAAACTAACGCGCAACAGTGCAAAGCAACGCAAAGCAATGAAACGCAATGCGATGCATTACAATGTAAAGCAGCACAATTGCAAAGTAATGCGATTGCAATACAGTGCCCAGACGACGGGCGGCGACGGGCGGCGATGGGCAGCGACGAGGCGGCGACGGCGGCCACATGGCGGCCAGAGCGGCCCGCAGGCCCAGGCAACGGGCGGCGCCGGGTGGCGACGAGGCGGCGGCGGCGGCCACATGTCGGCCAGAGCAGCACGCAGCCCCAGGCGACGGGCGGCGACGGGCGGTGATGAGGTGGCGACGGCCGCCACATGTCGACCAAAGCGGCCCGCAGGCCCAGTTCTCAGACGACATGTCAGCACCCCTACGTGCAAGCATTGCTGGGGAAATTATTGGTGATCCCCCCTCCGGTGCCCATTCTGTTTTTTCATCTGGAGTGCCCCTCCTGGGGCTCGCACCCTGTTTTTTTCAAGGGAACGTCTTGGGGCTCAGACTGGGTTGTTGGCCTCCAGTTTACAACAGCGGCCCCCGCTGGATTATTCTACACAATTTATTCAACATCGGGGTCTCGCGAGGGACGTCCTCACAATCTATTCAGGAATCGCGGTCTCGCGTGGGACGGCCTTGCGATTGATTCATACGCCGCGCCCTCGACACTCATGAGTCATGCTGTCGCTCTGGATTTCCTCCCGATTTAATTGGGAATCGCGCTATCACTCGAAAGTTCCTCGCGGTTTCTGCAGAACTCACACTTCAGCGACCCGCTCGCTCGACCCCGCCGTCTGGGCCTGCCCGCCCGACCCGCCCGTCAGGTTCTGCGGCTTGTTTTCCTGCTCACCCCCTTCCAGCTAATCTCTCTCGTGCTCCACACTTCTTTCTCCCTGTTGTCTCTTCCCTCCTCCTTTTCCTTGTCGTAGGGGCTGCGCCAACTATACGTGGCAGGTAAGGATGACATACCCCCCAGGGTGGGTATGATCGAAGACGAAGAGGGCGAGTGTCGACCTTTTGGTGTATACCGAATGACCAGCACTCGAGCAGATACTATCGAATTCTCTTAAACGCATTGTTGAACTTACATTTGTACAGCATAATTATTGTTGATCCCCCCCTCCGGTAACCATTGTATTTTGAAAACAAAGTGTTTGTCCAGGGGTTCGCACCTTGTTTCACAGAAGGGAAATGAAGTGTCACCCAATTGTGCCCCTGGCCCATAGTTTACAACAACAGCTGCTCCCGCCCGATACCTCCTCACAATTGATTCCCAAACCGTGCTCTCGCGCGGGACTTCCTCACAATGTATGCAGAAGTCGCGCTGTCGCGTGGGACTTCCTCGCAATTTATTCGGACGTCGCGTCCTCGACACTCAGTAAT